CTATTATCTGCCCTGAATAGAGTTTGCAGTGCCTTGTCATGCAAATAGCTTGTTTGCAAGGAACGTTTGGAATTTTTACGAACATTAGGGCCTTTTAGGAAATAGTCTTGCCTAGATTTAATCTTTACGCCCCAAATATTATTTACATCGGAGTTGCATCATAATTGTACTCGGATTCAAATGACACAATGTCAATGATTTTATAAAAGTAAAAGCATATTGTGTATTGGCCTATTGGGTTTACACTTTTACAGGTTCATTTAACTTTAACTCTCTCAAGTCTCAACAGACAATCGGACAGGCCGAATCTTTATCCATTGATATGACAACTTCAAAAATCTTTTTTTCGAAGCTAGATATCATGATTTTTTTTCAAATTTTTCCAGGGATACTTTGTTTTCTTCTCTCTAGACTCCCCCTCGTGGCTCTAGTGCTCCACCCCTAGAATATAGACCTTACTGGGGTTTGGTGACACTTTGTGTTGCTTCAGTCACCTGCTCAGGGCTCACCCCCCTAAAATTTCTGGCACCACCCCAGTAAAAATATGAAAATCCGTCTATGATTACAGCATAATACAGTCTGTACACAGGCTAATGAAAGATTGGCTATCTCAACAAAAAATAAAATCTGCAGGCATGTTCGAGCTTCCTACCTTGGATCATTCTTCGCGCGTATATTCTCCTCAAACTGGCTGCCATTTCTGGCAACATACTCCGCGAGTTTATCACATATCGGCTTTAAGTCAGGAGGAGGAGGGATAATGGGAGGGCCAGTGGTCATCTCGGTACCTGGGTAGGACAATATAGGACCAGCTAGGGATGGTGCGGGGTTATTAGAGTAGAACATGGGTGGAAACTGAGGATTCCCTAAAATGAGAAATGTTTTTCAACGGTTGAATACTTTGATATGCATATACCAATGTGTTATGTTCTGACATTTTGAGGTTTGCCGATCCTCAAAAATACAGTTCGAATGGACCATTCCCCCAATTAACCAAAATTTTGAACTCAACACTCTAGACAAAAATTCCATCACAGCTTGAAAGAGCATCACAAAATTAGTTATATTCCAAAGTTTCGTTTTAAAATGTTGTAAAATGCGGATAATATAACCTTGCGAAGTTTGTAATTTTCAGTCATTTTAGATTACAAACGGGAAATGGTTACCACTTTCGTGCGTAATACAAAATGACTGAAAATTACAAACTTCGCATGGCTATATTATCCACATTTTACAACATTTCGCAACGAAACTTTGGAATATTACTAATTTTGTGATGCTCTTTCAAGCTGTGATGAAATTTTTGTTTAGGCTAGTTAAGATCAAAATTTTGGAAAAGTGGTAACCATTTCCCATTTGTACAGTAATACAAAATGACTGAAAAACGGCAAACTTCGCAAGGCTATATTATCCGCATTTTACAATATTTCGCAACGAAACTTTGGAATATTACTAATTTTGTGATGCTGTTTCAAGCTCTGATGAAATTTTTGTCTAGATCAAAATTTAGTCTATAATACAAATGCTCCATTGCTCTATATTTATCGTCACGAAAACCTACGAACTTCTACTTACCATTTCCGGTTTGTGGTTCTATCCCAGGTGGTGGTGGTGGTGGTGGAGTGATGCCAGGGTGTGTATATGGATAACCGGGGTAACCAGGAGGATAACTCATGCTTTGCCCAGTCATGTTCATATCTGCGAAGAAAGTGTCGGCCTTAGAGACGAATGAATTGGTTCCCGTCGTATCATCTATAATGAAGTAAGAAATTCAATTACCAGTTAAAGATCAAGATTAAGAACTCTATAGCGCAATTTCTACATACTTAGCCGAGACTATTTTAGCTTTACAACAGTTGTGGTATTACTTTCTTAGCTTTACAACAGTTGTGGTATTACTTTCTTAACCGGAGAAAACCCACGACTTTCGGCAGAGCGTTGACTGACTCTTTTCACACGAGTCTGTAGCGAGTCTCGAACCCACAAACTCACTCAGAGTTGAAATTCCAGTATGCATCTATATTGAAATTATCATATGTTTTTCGATGTGCTTGTAGTAAATTACAAAGGATCTCTGGGATTTGGTCAAAGTTTTGTGTTGTCTCTGTTGGCTGAGAACTAAGCTGAATTGCGACGGACCTACAGCTCAACTTGATCGAGTTGATGGGCTGGCTACCTAAGGGCGCCACTGGCAGACACCTCACAGTATGACTGTTTGATCACGGAGCACAAGCTACACCTCTGATATTGTGGTTTCGATTCTCGCTGCGGAATTTACTAATATGGACGAGGCCCCAACGCACGTCCGAAGGCGTGGGTTTTCTCCAGGTCCTGATGTTTCCTTCCACGGAGAACATTAAGTAGGGTAACGTAATATAGCTAAGCGTTAAATATGTAATGTCAGCATATACTCGCGAGGTGGATAGTGCTTTACACACTATCCACTTCGTTCCGGTTACAGACGAAAGACGTTATTTCGCTGACCTCAGAATGACATTTCGTCAAAACTTTTTTCTTCAAGATTGGTTTAGAAACAGACTTAGGGGTAGGTCAGGGTTAGAGTTGGTGTTTGGAATAGGGTTAGTGTTAGTGAAGCCGTTGCTTTGTTACGTTTTGTCACTCTGAGGCCAGAGAAATAACCTCTTTCGTTACAGATGAGCATTTGTTTTTTACTAAAAGGAGCTGCGGTTTCGCTAACCAAGAAGAAAGCCAGAAAGTGGCATATGCTAAAACAATTATTCGCCTCAGTATCGGTGAACAGTGCACGGATATTCACCTCACTGCTTATCGGTCAGCGATAACCCGTTAATTATCGACCAGTGATAACTGACAATCCTGATGCGGAGTGAGCTGAACAATATCTTTAATCAGTAATTTTTGCTAGACGCGGGTTTACCTGGATTAACAGCAGTCCATCCCGGGGGGAGTGGCGGAGGTTCTAAAGGGGCGACATCTTTCTTCTTTGATGTGATCGGAGCTCTCAATGACGCCGTGAGTAGAGGATGAAGTTCCATTTCTTCGTCACTGTCCGATTCTTCTTCTGGATAAATAAGAACAGAAATAGAATTCAGGATTTTTGGCCGTCATTTTTTGGCGACAATAGAGGATGACACCAAGCGGGACAGTTTTCTAGTGCGGTAAATAGTACACATAGTCTAAATTCGCTCTTTCGCTAGTTAGGTACGACCACTGTCTCCGCGCGGTTTGCCACCCAGTTTTTAAGTCATGTATTCGAACAATTAAAGTTGTTAAAGAAAACTTGTCAATCGTCAACTTTCAACCAAAGATTTGACCTACAAAACCATGGTTTACCAAGTTATGATGGTTTGGAGGCTGAACAGAAGTCATTGTATTATGTTTTTGTCGGAGTTTATGCTAATTTATGCATGGTCACGGTGATTGAGCTCATTGTATTTTCGTATAGTCAAGTAATCGTCCAATAGGGATAGCTGAGGTGAAACGTGCAACCACAATGAAAATTATTTAATGAAGTTGAGACAAAGGATTTGTGCACGGGAAGGTACAATTCAACATCAAACAAAGGTCTTCTATTTTGTGGCTTTCAGGGCGCAAAATAACGGCCGGTCAACGGACAATGGCCGGCCAAAAATGCCTCTTGATCGGTCACTTTTTTACCTCACCGGTCATTTTGACCGGCCACATTTTCATGCCTTCCAATGTGATTGCGGACGTCTTGAATTAAAACATGAAACCATGATGTATCCAAACAAGCTTCTAATAGTTTATAAAGTTTGTTCGTTCACTGCAACCAGGTATATCAATCATGTTTCGCTCGCTACTCTGGTTTAAATAAACGATTACAAAGCCCAGTCGAATTGTAATCAAGACCCAACGTTTCGACACTCCAGTCTAGTGTCTTCATCAGGGGTGATCTAAAACTGCGGTCGTGGCTGCTTAAATACCCAAGGGATGACGTCACCTGCCAAGAAGATGCATATATTCCTCTGGCAAATAGGCGCCGTCATCCCTATTCAAAGCATGATGACTCATATTTATATGCCACGTATTTAAGCAGCCACGGTATATCACCCCTGTTGAAGACACTAGACTGGAGTGTCGAAACGTTGGGTCTTGATTACAATTCGACTGGGCTTTGTAATAATTTATTTAAACCAGAGT